CCATGTCGTATCAAAGTTGATTAATTACAGTAAGGTTGTTTGAATGTTTTACCTTTTGTTCTCCACTGCTTCATTTATTGTATTAGGCATGGGAACTCCCGCTGTTTCAGGCATGAAGAGTATGTTGCAAACTGCAGTTACCAATGCTAATGATCCCATGACAACGAACGGAACGTAACGAATTTGATCATTTTCTCCTAAATAAAAATTAGATTGTTGGAAGTGTAAACGAATATTTGTTTCGAGCCATTACTGTTGAATTTTTTGTGCTCTCAGATTTGTGTTGTCAATAAAGAATGTTGCCAGTATGGTTCGACTTGAAATTGTATATGGAACAGAACTCATTCTATCCATAACATAAAAATATGCATTATACAGAGTTTTCTGCAAATTTGATATATTCATGTGTACCTTACCCACAAACATCAAATAAGGCATTGTTATTCCACCAATCCGAGCGCATACAGATGCTACTCCTAAAGAAGTTGTACGAACCAAAGTTGGAGATATTTCAGAAGCTAAGAGATAGACCACATTGAATACCCCAGTAATTGCACACTTTCCGGTCAATACCAAGACTGTTGTAACAATTGGATAATCTAGAATAAACGAAGATGATAATATATGATTGAGGTTGCAAATAAACAGTTGAATAAAACGACGTAAATTATTAGTTGGCGCCATAACGCAATTGCCGAACATCTTGTTCCTACACATCGTTTTACTCCGCATTGGCATAAAATGGGCTGCCCACAATCTTTATCAACACCGGTGTGCAGTAGTAAACAATCATAGGTGATGGGATGAGATATTAGAACATAGCAATAATTATTAACAATAAATGATACGCTTGTTCTACCTGTTTAGTTGTTAGCTTGTTCCGAATCGGAAACTAAGCAAAATACACGACTTGACTTAGATTTTTTATTCCCAGACTAAACACAATAGTTAAGGAACCTAATCAAATTAATTGAATAGTAACACTCTTCGATGATACGTGGTCAGTTTTTATTTTGGGAATGTACCTGACCCCGCTCATGACTATATATTATCCTTACCTGCTCTGAGAAAAGGAGAAATTACACAACAAGATCCACTTGTGACGAGAAAGAAGAACAATGTTCTAATTCGACCTATTTTGTCAGGCAGTATAAACGAAACTACAAATGAAGGAAGTTCGACAATTCCGGATAGGAAAATGTTCATCAGCCGATCTCCACTCAATTGAGAAGGGTTGAGTGAAATGGCGAAATAGACTAAACTCGTGACAAACCTGTGAATGATATGACATCGTGATGATAAAGCCATCCAAAACGGCAAAAACAAATTAGTGTTAGCAAAGATGAACAAACATAAAGCATAAACATAAAGCCATCCAAAACGGCAAAAACAAATTAGTGTTAGCAAAAATGAACAAACAGTCTCAATTTGCTCAATACTGTTATTGGTGTTTGGGACGTTGTACCATGCATAGTGAGCAAGTGATTTAATTAATGAAATAATAATAATACACTTTGCTAGGTGTATACAGTTATCATATTGCAAACGGTAAATGTACTATGATTCACGAACCAAGATAGACACAGCACAGCACATCTCAATCTCATCGTCGGGTTTTTAAGTAAATGTAGATAATTCGACTCTTTTTTCATGTCAATATGTTTCTTCGCCATTAATGCCCCTTTTGATCTCTTCGCTTCCTCCTACAAGTATGTGAAACATACAAAAAATAAATCAAATTGAACGAATCTTCTCTTTATATTCCAGTATAATTTCCAAAACAAAGTGACGAACAAAAAATTCGACACTTACTAAAGCAATGTGGAACTTGTTGTAAATATCATCAACGTCAATAGACTTTCCATTCGTATCTGCTATATATTTCAGCAGTTGTTTTGCTTCTTTTTCTCTTCCACTCACCAATAACCAACGAAGAGATTCTGGGAAAAACCTGAAGCAATTGAATATTTTTAATGTTTTCAATATTGATACAATCTTCAAATGAACTGTCCTGATAACAGTCAGTTTAAGAATTACATTTTAGTTTACAGTTTGTCAGTGGATTTCAAAATACCAATATATAAACCGACTGTGATAGGTTGTATTGTACTCTCACTTTATACATATATATATATATATCGACTACAATGTAATAAAAATATTACAAACCAGAGAAGCGGAAGATAAAATAGACCGAGAATTGCGTTGGACCTCAAATACCATCTCCAGCTCGGAAAAAAATATCCCAAGACAGGACTCATGGTGTATCCAACGCTGTAAGCGATACAACACAACATTCCAACCATTAGTTGTCTTTTCACTCCCATCATTTCCGTGGCTGCGTAAATAAAATATATATTTGCATTATACAACAAAAATAAAAGCTAAGGAGACAGTTCGAATGTTGTTAAGCACAGTACACAACATACTCGTAGTACCTGTTTATTGTGCTCGTGTTTGTTTCGTATGCACCTTCTTTGAATCACAATCCTAGAGGGTAATACATAATTCGAAATTCACACGCCTTTTATCAATGACACATACGTCATTTTATCAATGACACATACGTCATAATTTTTCTGTTGTTTTCAAAGGGGGCTTACATATCATACGTACAAAGGAGGAAACAAACAGTGAAAACAGGGAAATGATTTATTACCAAAAACATAGGAAACGACGTAATTAACTAATCCGAAGAATCCAACGACAAGAGTGGAAATTGCATATGATTCGAAATTCCAAGAAAATCCTGTCACACCGGTCATCAAAAATTGCCCAAACGTGAAGAATAGGAATACAGGTCGTCTACCAAATCTAAATATAAAAATAAATTATCAGTATATAACTTTTCTGTTTATTTGCTCATAAGACATTGACGAGTAATACCACGAATAGCTAAGCACTAGTTTGAACCTGAACCACGATATCTACAGAATAGGCTGCATGGCTGTGTCAATTTTGTAGAGTTTCATAAAATGTGTAGTTGTATATATATGTGATTGATAATCTGTCATTTATATATTATTCGAAGCCAGCTGATTTGACGAAAATCGCGAATATGAAAATCAATATTTGAATGATATTTATCGTAAAATGCAATTGGATTTAGTTCTATATCATATTTTGTAACGTTCAAACTACTACTTATACTTATCAATTGAATCATAAAATGACATCATGGTTTTAGAAAAAAAAATCTTTCAACCTATCCAAATCACACGAAAGTGGAATAGCCGCTAAATATTGGGAGCGTTTCCATACTTATCCGACAATATTCCAGAAAATGCTGCCAGTGCCATCCCTATCATGTAAAGTGTTATAACAAATGGAGGCTTCCACGACCCTTTGCACACCAAATCGAACTGTTAAAAAGGTAAATAGACGGCATTTGATTGCGACGTTGAACGCCCGTCAATTAAGAAGTACTGTGAATATGGACGATGATGTATAATTTCACAGAATGAAAAATCTAGATCAAATCAGTGTGATATTCAATGTTACAAAGTCATGTACTTCTCCCGTCTGATCATAAATTAATTGTTTAAATGCTATGACTGAAAGCAAGTCGTTCGAATTATCATGAAAATAATAACTTTTTATTATATACTAAGAAAAACGGAATAAGATGTAACAAAGCATTTGACAACCAATCGTGTGATTATAAACCTATGTGAACATTTTGTAATGATAGTGAAAGCAATTTTCTTTGTCATGCCTCCTTAGATAAATTGGAATATTATGTCGATGCTCACATAAACTTACAAATAGGTATTACACAGCCATAGTGACGTTCACTGACCACTTCAATTTGAAGAATGCAACAAATGAAAAATTGTGGTTACCTTTTAGAAATCCAAGTTTCATGACATAGTAATTATGCTACTTATTACATTATTCACAAAATAGGTACCTCTGATGTAACCGTATCCATGTTTTCGTATTCCCAACCATTGGTACATGGTACCTTCTTGGGTTCCCAGGAAAACGAGGAATTCGTTTGATTGTGGAAAGCCATATCGAACATCTCGCATTCACTTCTCCTCATTCCACCAAGTCCATCACTTTCCCACGGTACAGTCAGGTTGAGAAGTTGTTCATATTCAGTGGAATTCTGCAAAAACTCTGGATCATTATTACATTATCTTGTATCAGGTGACACAATGAAATTTAGTTTCACATAATTTTGGTCTTTTTGCTTAGCACTGAAACACTAACTTAAGATTCTTTTCGCGGGCTAGTCCGGGAAGGTAATACCCAAGTTCATACAGACTACAATAATTAAAAATCACGTTAGCAACTGCACCTGGAAAATAATTCTTTAAATTGCGCCTATTAAACAAGCCTAAGGTAAGCAAGAATATACCTTTGAAACGTTGCCAAAGGCGGGTGGTACAGCACAATGAAACTTTGGTTGGTATTGTGTATAAGTGAACATGATATTGGGAAATGCATTTGGAATTCCTGCAAAAAACAGCATCACACAAACTCTCTTTTGAAAAGAACCGAATTTTCCAAGGCGATTCAAAACGTTTTCGAACTCCATCGTGTAGAAAAATATATTCGCCGGACAGATTTAAACTTTCATTAAAACAATACGAAACTAAGAATAAATAAATAGGTATTATTGGCACATCAAATTTTATTTTAAGCTAGTCTAGTTGTTTTCAAATACACAAGCAATAGTAGCTTTTCCATTCATACGTCAATAGGCAAAGTTGCTGAGAATGTCGCCAGACGCCAAAAATTTGGAATATCTTTTATTCCGAACGTTTTTGAGTAAATATCTTGGATTGACTTGGTTGCTATTGTTTTGCTTACTATAAATTTTAATCTTTCTCGCGCTATATCTAGCATTCATATTTGGAATCGGGCACTCATTGTCATAATACTGTCGTTTGGTGAAATTTCTAACTGCACCTGAGTATCTAATTCAGTCATACTGACGCAATCCAAGAAAATATTTCGTATTTATTGTGATGGTACCGCGTGTACATGCGACCGACGCTTTTTTGTTTCAGTCGCCTATGATCAATTCTCCTCCGGGGTGAATACGACGGCACCTCGCCCTCATGTATTGTCAGCTAATCAATCAGAATGCAGCTGTTAACCTTCGGTGAGGTGATTGCTGCAATAAACCTCTCAATTTTTAAATTCATCGGTCGTTGAGATAAGAATGATAGATGTAAAACAGTTTATTTTTGCATAGCAGGATAATAAAGATACACTGCGCAGTGACAGCTAAACTGTAATTTTACAACCAAGTGTACATACTCGACGAACACAGTGAATTGTATGTCTTCGATCTTTACAGTCGATGTTAAATGCGGATGAATATCTCCTCAACTACAAAAAAGACATTTTCAAAACTAAACAACATCCCAAACGTATTTGCCAAACTCTCACTACTACCATCATGATTACCAAAAATTGAACAAATGAGAAACACGTATATAAAATATAATAAAGATCGAATACGGGTGAAAATACCGTATTGGCATATCTCGTTGCTACCCCAATTTTTAGGTTGGCAAGTGAAAAGCGTATTTTCGACCGTAAAGTTACAAATTTGTTTACAGTGTGTAATTACATACTTTCCAACTACTTTTGCTTTTCTGCACTGTATAATCGAACAATATTAAAGTGAAAAATAATTCAAAGGCGGCATTACATCAAACATATTGCTTGTATTACATGCTGGCGGTGTGACATGAAACATCGTCTCCTTCCGATGGACACGTAATAAAAGTTTATGACGAGGAGAAAAGAGTATGACGAAGTTCAATGACATTTTATTGGATTTATCAATTTAAAACAATATCAACACGAACATTTTAGCAGTTTGGCTTAGTTACATGTGCGCTTTTATAAATTACATTTCTTACTGACATAAGATATTCAACTGGATAGCCAAAATGTTTTTAAATTAATGAATAGTTTTTTTTTAAATTCCTATTCCAAATTGGTCTTGTCAATACAATGGGTTCAACATAATTTACCGAAAAGAGAAATCTGGAGATATTTAATTTAATGATGCAGATGAGTTGAGATTGATTGGTTTTTAAAGAATAAAGTAGAATGAAGTCTATTTATTTCCAGACCACCGGATGTCGAATGCTCAAATTTTGAAGAGAAAACATCTTAAATTATTCACAAAATCAAATTAAATGCATTTTCCAACCGTGCTGAAAGTACCAATACGAAAGAACATAACAGAAGCCATGCAAAACTTCTTCAGTGATTATTTTACATCAGTTGTTAGGTACTTGACAAATATTTGCAGTTCCTCGAACTTTCCGTATAAACATTTTCTGCTTTTTCACAGATTTCATATGCTTTGGTTTAATTTTCAAGATTTGCAAAAATTTGCCGGTTCTTCTAATTGCTAGTTGTGCCCTAGTTCAGTACGATATTTCTTGACGTAAAATAGGAGTAGGCTAGTCGCAGATCAAAAGTCGAGTCTACAACATTTTGGCGCAATTGTTTTCACCTCGAAACTAATTTCTTTTCGCGTTAATAAAACGCTACAACTTGTCATATCTTCCCAATTATACCTTAACACACGAACCAAATAACTAGGGATGGGAAATCAAATATTTCAAGCAGTACCGGATATTTCCTACAGTCGATTTGAGGCCAGGACGTGGAGGGTCGATATATTATACTCCGTTCAGAAATCGCAGAAAGATCGGAAACGTCGACTGATTTTGTTGTAATGAATGAATGAAATAACGATGAATACTTTTATCGGCGTGATTATTTCGCCGGCCGACACCCTATCGTCGGTAAACTATCTTTCTGTAAATTATTCTTATTCAGTCCGAAAAACGCAAAAGATAATAAGCGATTATCATGAATTTTCAGCCCAAATAAATTTGTTCAAATACTTATCTTCAGTTTTGGCTTTAATCGTTCTTATTGCTATTTGTAAATTAACCCCCATCTTTTAGTACACTATATTCTCAATACGTCGGGATGTGAATTTTGTGAAAGCAGTCGTTTCATCCTTCTGCTTGTATTTCTATCGTCTTCATTATTTTGGCAATAAATAAAACATCCGTGGAGTCGTCGTTGCTTATAACAATGCGGGTATATACCGTCAGCAAATCCCTATTGTTGCAATCTTCATTAAAACCTTGCAAAAATTGACAATAATGTAATTTCACATGGCTTTTCCTTTAATAATCCGCGGAACTTTTCATATAACACCTTATCATCCAGTCTCATATTTCGAAATTTACAAAACGGTCCATGACTTATCTTAATTAAAGCTCGTCTGAGTGTTTTTCTGATTTAGTGTGTGCTTTTAGTATACGCTATAGGCACAATCATCTACAAGTTGATGGAATTTCGGTAATCTGAGCAAAAATATTAGTTAAATCCTATTAGCTGTAAATCGGTTTAACTCAGATTCTTTAAACTAGGACGAAACAAGTTGATCATAACAATCCATTGTTCGCGTTGCAGGCGATAGCCCGGGGACAAATATAATGTTTTGATCGGACAATCAAGATTAGATCACCTGCCGTGCTTGATAGCACTTCAACTTAGGTACTCAATTTAATATATATAGAAGCACGTCACGGTTTGTATTATGAAAGGTGGGGTGGGGGGCGGCTGGGGCGGGGCGTGGAGAGTCAAGACAGAGAATGACAATATAAATAAAGTACTGTAAAGTTGTGACGATCAAGTTGGAAATAATATATCAATTGTTGGGAGTGAGTTTGCAGACTATTGCAAACTGAGAATGAAGGTTTATCGAAGTGCATTGTGGAAAAGTACTTTTTCTTAATTGTATAAATTTTTTAGATAACCAACGACAAATATTGTAGTGAACACGTTTCCTAACTACCTGTACTGGCAATGTATATATGTGCTCATGCAATTCTACGGTAAATGACGTCGAATAATTCCAAAGAAGAAGAAAACAGATACTACGACGGTGAGGGAAACCGCATCTTCGGAAGACTTGTTGTTGTTGTTAATATGTTTTATGACTTTTATAACACCTGTGGTATTTTGCGCCATTTATCAATTTGAATTAAATATTCTATACTAACATATTATGCAATAGTTACAAATAAATAGATTATAGAAATAAATTAATTATGATAAATTTTGATCCTAAATATTTCTACCCGTAGACAAAACAAATTCAGCCAATCATGTCAATGTCACAAAGCACTTCTTCCAAAGTCAGTTCCAATTTAAGTTTTTTGGCTTGGCGAATGACTGGGATTCTCTGATGATGATATTACTGACAATGCAGTAGGTAGGGGGATACGGTCTGAGGTGCAAAAAAACATTATTTGCAATATTCATCGGAATGGCAACCAATTTTATGTAAATGAGCATTCAGGGCGCGATGACTGGTTTGCAGGCGGAATAAAAGAACTTGATATTTACGTGATAAATTATCGTTCTCGAGTCGTGACATAGTTGTGGTAAAAATCTTTTATTGACTTGCTAATACGCGTTCCGGCCTTGTTCTTGCGATCCACCAGCAGTATTGTATATAGCTCCGATGTATGCGAGGTAACGATGTAAATTTTTTTTTCTCCACTTTCAATTGAGGTACATAATATGCAGCACCTCCACCGATTTTTTTAAACGTCTTTGAATACTTGCAAGTACTCTTGATAGTTTTCGTGAACATGGTCAAGAAATGCCTATTGAAGTATTGTTGGCGAATATGTTCTATCATGAATTGTTAACGATGTATCAATTTGCGGTGGCTTCATTATCCGAGGGATGCAGGGCGGACTTTCGCAACTGGCAATTACTGCAACAGAGAAGTCGTTAAAAAAGGTGTTAGTTGGTTTCATATTAAACGTTGCAAAATTCAAATGTACGCGGGTTCAAATGTAATGGAATCATTTAGAATATATCGAATATTTTATAATATTACTTATTTATGAATTAAAATTAGATTTTGGCTAATCCCGGATACAGCTAAATATTCTTACCACATAAGGATATCTAAAACGACCGCTGTTGCAAAATAAAGATATATCTTTATCCCAATTCGGCAGTTGAGATTTATTATTCGAATGTTTTTCTCAGGTGCATGCAATTCATCAAAAGTTGTCGTCCAATAAAAACTAACTTGTTATTCTTATAATACGTCTAAATGCATCTCACCTAGCTCAATATTTTCCAGGTATATATTAAATTGGGAAAGCAAAGTGTTGGACAAGTTTTATAAGTGGGACAAGTATGAAAAGTGGGATGAGCAGGACAGGTGTGAGACGACGAGAGCGTGTGTGAAACAAGCGAGAAAGATGCAGAATCAAGGAGTGTGGGATAAGCAATATAAGTGTGGTAAAAATAAGTCAAATGCGGGACAAGCGAGACAAATTTTATTCAATCAGGACAAGTGTGAACAAGGCAGGCAATGTATGACGCAAGCAGGACAATTGTGGAACAAGCAGGGCAAGTGTGAAGCAAGCAAGAAAAGTGTGCGCCATACAGAAGGAGGGTGGGACAAGCTTAACAATTTTGCTAAAAGTAAGTCAAAGGTGGAACAAGTAGTGCAAGTGAGAGACGAACAAGACAATGGGACAAGTTTGGTACATGCAGGACAGGTTTATAATAAGCAGGACAAGTGTGGGACAACCCGGACAAGCAGTGCAAGTGTGAGACAAGCAGAACAGGGAAAATCGGGAACGGTTGAGAAAAGCTGAATAAATATGAGACAAGCAGGACAATCGCGGGACAAGTGGAAAAAGCTGGAAAAGTTTGAACAAACAGGAGCAGAGTGGGACAAGGAATACAAGTGTGGTAAAAGCATATCAAATGCGGGGCATGCCAAGCAAGTGTGAGACAAGCAAGACAAATTTGATTTGATCATCAGGACAAGTGTGGGGCAAGCAGGACAAGTTTGATGCAAGAAAGACAGATTTGAAATAGGAACGACACGTGTGGGACAACCAATACTAGTGTTGTAAAAGCAAGACTCATTCCTGCGACAGCAGGATAAAAGTGAGACACGCAGAACCAGCGGAACAAGTGTTTTTGAATAATATAGGCCTACGCAAAAGCATTAGAAATACAAGTATGAAAGTTAAAAACACAGATAGCTGTTTGCGTGTCTATTCTACGTCTTACCAACGAAAATGTGACAAAGATGGTTAACATATCTATAATTAATTTTGCCAATATATTTTGAATGAACTTTGTTTACAAATTTACGCTTCATCGGTCTTTACTTCTGAACGCTGGCCATTGAATATAAATATACGAAGAGAAATTGCCCCCGTGGTCTGAGAGCCAATCACATTAATTACACCCGATTGGAAGTTAAGCAATTTCGGGCTCAGTTAGTACTTGCATGGGTTACCGAATAGGAATATCGGGGATTTTTTTTTATTCGCAAACGATAATAATGATTCATGCCATTTGATTATGTTATTCCAATTACTGGTCAGTACTTTTGGTCAGCAATTACAAGATTGCTAAGAAAGTTTATACCTGTAATTAACAGTCGGTTATAGTTTACACCTGATAACGTTTCAGTGATGTTCTGGAATAGACGGTGAAGCGCTGAATTTATTACTAGAACATGACTGACTTGTTTAAACGTATTGTTTGAAAAAGTAGTTGTAAGCATGTAGACCTGACAACTTTTGTTGTCTTAGTTAAAAATAGCTCACGGAATTTGATAGGATTGCGTTCAAATTTAGTTATGGCACGAGGCTTATTGTTTTCCACCTGTAACACTGTAAATATTGTCCATAAATTGTAACTTTTTACGTCACACTTACATGGCCCGCTAGTTTAGATGGGCACACTTTTTGACCCCTGGTCCAAAAACAGTGCCCACCTCTGATGCAGACCATGTGGGCGTAGCGTAGATATTTTAGCGTGTTATGGGTTTTTGAACTAAAATCTAAGAGCAACGAAGTTTTTTCGGAATGAAATGTCAAATTTTTTTTTTAACAAATTTCAAGTTTTTCCCCATTTTCATCACAATTTTCTGTAAGCTCATCAGTTTCATAATAGGCGACAATATTTTGGTCCGTTTGTCGGTAATCGCGTGGAACAATAGGTCGATTTTATTAAATCATTTTTTTTTTATGTTGGTCCGGCTCGATAAAGATTTAATATTTTCTAAGATATAAGAAAAAATGAAATCATTGCAATATATATGCAAGATGAATTCCTAGTATTAGCTGGTCAGAATGTCAAGGTATGATATTCTTACCATGGCATTCGAACGTTATGGTAATGATAGTGTATTATCATGTATATTGTGATTGATTTAAAAAGGGGAATATTTCGAGACGCAAATTGAATTGAAACAGTTGGTGTTTAACAATTAATTTTAAACCCGTCTTGAAGCTTTGGAATACGGAGCATCTTTACAAGATGTGGATCAACTTAAATTTCCTTACTTTAAGTTTGCTCATAACAGGATTGCAATCGACCACACCTGAAGTGAAAAGATTACTAATATTGCATAATATAATACAGGGGTGGCCAACACGTCGATCGCGATCGACCGCCACGTCTCGAGTAGTCGATCGCGTCTGATGTTGAGTGAATTTAATAACAAAATGGCCTTGAACCAGCTTCATGCAGCTCCTGTTGTGTGTTTTAAAACAGAAAGAATACAGTACCGTACTGGTACATGCGCAAAACGATATACACACATACCATTTGAGTCTGAGCAAGTTTGATAAGGTTTAGGAATGAACGTGTCGAATATCATGCGTCTTGACTGACAAACGATCCTACGCTAACTTCTGCAATATGCAAAAAGTATTGTCTCACTTCAAGAGTAGTGTGATAAATTTATTCGCAGTAGCAGTGACATCAGAATGCCCAATTTTTTATAATTCCAAGCGAGCGAAGAATCGGACTTGAAGGAAATTGTAAATTGGATACTGAAGTTTGATCAGTCATATAACATTTATGGTTTGAGAATACTTATGTTTCACTGTTTTAGATAATACATGGATACCGACCTAAAAAGTAGGCAGGCCTGTGATCGGAATTGTATTATTTGAATAAATGATGAAGCATTTACTCCGGGTACAATTACATAAATCAAATTAAATGGAACATAAAAAATACAAATTTTTGTGGCGATTTCATTAAGAATGCACCGACAGAGCCGAGCTTATTGGCAGCTGTGGAATTTTTGTGTGCGTGTGTGTATAAGTTATCTGCATGTTCAGTACTCATTGGGTTTTGTGTTTGACCTTATTATCGATCAGTCGATCGCGAGTTATTGAAGATCGATCGATCGATCGAAAGCTGGTTGGCCACCCCTGATATAATATGTTGAAGGGTTAATTTTTTTTTAATTTAGTAAACAAATTTCTCAGTGAATGAAATAAAAAAAAATATTTATACTTGCATGTGATGACAAATCATATATATACATTATTTGAAGATTAATATTCAAATCCTATTAAACCCAATCTTAACCTGGGTTCGATCGAACCCCTGGGGTTGGGTGAAGCTGTTTCGGGGATTCGACGAAAATCCTCTGAAATAATTTAACACTATATTTTACCGCAGACATCCAAACTTCCACGTTTAGCTTAACTATGTGCAGTTTCGCATAGATACAAGTTTTATTGCGACTGTCGATGATACTAATATCTTATATCCCATTTCATTGAAAACTTGTTATATTGCCACATTTGTCGCACGCTTTGTGTACCTCTGTATGATAGCGTTAGATGCTTCTTGCTTGTGGAAATATCTTATGTTGTTATGACAAACCTCATGATTTTAAGCTGAATATTCGCGTCAACGTTCATATTCAAAATCTACTAATAAAATGTAGCTTATTTTTATGCACAAATTGAATCAGATGTAAGTGTACACGAATGAATATGAAATCTGGGCGTATATATATGAAATTCGATAAATGATAGAATTCGCAGCAAAGAACATTTTATGGCAGAACTTTGCCTAAAATTATCATCACCCGTCATGGACGACCTTAATGATGCTGATGAGTCATACCGTATTTCTATTTCTTTAAAACGATCCTTTTATCCAGATTGTTATTTATGTCTGGAATGTGAATAACTTGGGCTATCGACGATTTCAATACATCGTTTTAGTTTCGCATTTCCGAAGTTGTAATTTTTGCCTTGGTAGTTTTCCCCCATTTCTGCCACACTCTTATTTTCTGCCTACAAGCCACCCTGCCGCGGAGAATATTGTGGCACAACAAAAGTTATTTCGATACGATGTATGGTTATGTAAGTTTACACCACAATGAGTTTGTCCGGAAAACTCTTTGCAATTTCGAGGAGTTTTTTGAAAGAACGACTATGAGTAGTTGTTCTTTTGTTGCAATTTATGTTGCTATGTCAGTGGCGCACCAGGTGGTTGGTAGTTAATATCCTTTCGGGAATGTATGTTTTCAAATTCAACCCTCAAAACCTAATCTTTCCACAATAATAACGCAACAAATTCCTACTCTGTCAATCGAAGGCGGTCGCATTTTCTATAACCTTGCATAAAATTGGCGTGGCCCTTTGTTCTTGTTGCGCCCATGGTTTTAACAAATTGGGGTTCGACGAAAGCTCCTAGCTAGGATAACGTAGGAGCTAGGCAGGCTCTCAGAAGTTGATAACTACTGATTGCACAAAAGTAAGCTGCAACCGAATAAACGCAACAATACGTCAAGATAGTAAAGAGAGTTTGCTTGGCTTTGCGATGTGTAATATATTAATGGTGAAAGATTTAGAAATCCATACCGACTATAGGCAGCGTCATTTTTGATCAAATTATCAATCATAACGATGCAACTCGATTAATTTAAAATTAATATTATCGCCATTTGATTTTTTGTTATTTTAACTCAATATCGCATGGCATAGAGCCATAAAAGACGACACGCGCTTCTATGTCCACATTCTGTATGAAATGAGATATCAAAGAAATGCAATATATTATATATTCCATTTGTAAAATTCAATTGTGATTTAAAGGTATAGCTATATAATGGAATCGTTGTTTACATCGCTATATAAGATTTCACCATGTGTTGTAGTCCAAAAGATCGACAATTTAACTTCACTTGGTATCGCCATCCTTGATCAAGTATGTGGTTCGTTATTGTTATGGAATTATCTCATAATTCTTACTTGATCAAAGGCAATCAATACTGATACAAGTTTATTTTACCGAAAGGGTGACTTCATTTCAAAGCAGGGTCGTTCGCCGCCGGTAGCAACACCCATTATTCAGGTGCCCTTTGTGTAGAATGAAAGGACCAGCCTTTGGTTTATATAATACTGGAACGTGTTTATACAACAGTAGGACAGAAGACTGCAACAGATGTAACCTCCTTTGTGTATTGAAAAATAAATAGGATAATATAAGTTTGATGCCGCTCCAGATTTCAAAAGTCAGTTTAAACTCAAAATATGATGTAAGCAAAAAATTTAAACAATTTTAGTTAGTCCTTATATATGGACGTATTCAAATAGCCATCACAGGAATTTATTGCAGGAACTGAGAATACGGTAGTAAATGCAATATTGAATATCTGCATAAGACCAAATCACCGTTGAATTCATCATCGAATGTAACGAATATTTCTTTAAGGGCCGGGGGAGGCCAAGGTTTTGGCGAATGAATCATTGATAATTTAAATAAAAGTACATAAAAACCTAATGTTATTATTATTTTAACCACCAGACAAGCACAGCATGCTGTACTTATGCGAATATGTATCGAAAAGTTAGCTTGTCGGATAAATAAAACCACATAATAATTGGCATCTTATAGTATTTATCAAACGCAAAATAGTAGTAGCTTTCCGTATAAATTATTGTTTTCATTTATGTATTTTTTATTCCTTAGTTAATAGCATACGCCGATTTGTCATTGAGTGTTTCATGATGACGTCACAGACTGCACCATTATTTCGCCATTCTTCAAGGACAAGAAGACCACCAACACGTGACGTGTTATCGATGAGAGAACTACGAGCAATACCAAGGCGGGTGAGTTCAATTGAAGGTTCATTGTCGCAGAAATCGTCTGTACGGAACAGACTACAAGCTCGGGCCGAAACGGCGCGAATGGTCTATCAAGCAATCATGTTCGATCATTATTTTTTCACTCATTTAAAAAACCTTTTATGAAACGCAAAAGTCGGTAGTTTTATCATAAAACATTGCCAAGCTCAACTTGGTTATTGAATTATACATAAGGTGTAGCGTCTATCAGTGTATTGATGAAGGTCGGAAATCGAAAAACAAACATGCTAAACGTAGTATGGGGTAAATGTTTCTTGAAATACGTTAATGACAGTGGCATACTTTTTTTTAACACGAATGTGAATTTGCTAATAATTAATTAATAAATTATTCCCTAACAGTTGATTTTGTCATTTAATTTTGTAAATGGATTTTAGTAAATTCTGATAAACAATGAAAATATTTGCCAAAATTTCCTAAAATTGTGTGCACAAATTTTGGTTGGATTCCATAGTTCGGCTTGGTTGACGCGTGGGTGGGTGTATGGCTTTCAAAGATGTAATATTAGAGTTACCGCCTACATGTTAAACATGGACAGCAGGGAGCGTCTCGTTTTACGGTTGTAATTGCTTGGCGGTTTACTGTAAACCTTTAAGGCTTTTGTATTGGTCTACTTAACGATTTGTGTAACTCGGATAAAAACTATTCTGTATATGTGTATTCAAGAGACAAGCACTGGTTGTAAAATCAGAACGTTAAACAGCAATACACAGAGCCGGTCTTTGTGAGTTTGTACAGCGGAGGTCTATGACATACGATAAATTGACTATTTCTCTGGTCTAATTAATTTTGAAAATATTTGCTAACATTCATCCTGATATACAATGTTGGAATTATTTTATTTAACTGTAGTCTGGACATTACAAAGCACTGATAGCGGAATAGCTAATTTTTATTAGGTCCTTTCGCGTTTAAAAATTGCTTATATTATATAAGTTTGTTGGTTGAGCAGGCGCAATTTAACATAGAATTGGTTAAGATGTTTATGAGGAATTGATGTAAACTACGTAACTACGAAAAAAATTCAGTTCTGAAATGGAATATATAAAAAAGGCTTCTGCTGCGATAAATGGTTTGAAACATGAGCTATATTTTCATTTAACATCATAAGAAATCCTATGCTTCATATATATATATATATTGATTATCTAATGTCACTCGAGAAGTTAATGCTTTTTGTTGTTATTTCAAAATTTGCTGATATAATATTGACTTAGACTCAAGGATGAATTGTTTTCACCGATCATAAGATTTTTGTTTACGCAGCATTCTGACCAAAGCATAACTTTGCCATACTCTATTTCTCAGTCTTTACTACTGAACAATGTAAAGAGTATACCGCAAAAAGAGTCGTTATGCATATGCTTTTTTAGTATGAATCACAGTTAGATAGTAATCTAGCGGTGCGGTTCGTTTTTTCATACATCGCTACATAAATGAGGTAATTAGCTTGAGGGAATTTCTTCCACGAGGTTAATTGAACTCTTCTCAGTGGGGTACGAGCGTGTATTTATCAGCCAAAATATATATCCAATATATACGTTGAAATGCATTTTACAATGACGAGGTTTGATCATAAAAGGCGCAGTTTAGAAAACTATTATTCCAAAATATTGTAGTAACACAAAAATATTGTAGCAAGTTTGCAGCGTACAAATGCGTTGTTATCTAGTTACGATAAAAACAAGAGGAGCAATGCTAGAGTAAATAATTCTAACCCCATACAGTACAGTACAGTATTTATTAGTGCAGTGGGATTTGAAAGGAGGTCCCATGTACTCGTTTATTCAAAAATGAAACGGACATTCAATATTAAATCACGCCACGGAGTTAGCCGGAAGAATACCCTGGCTTCAGACTTAGTAACAACGCAGTCAAGTCGCCTGTATTCAACTTACACAAAAGTAAGATTCGTATATACGATTTTTGTAAGCTACATTTGAATCAGGACATCGATACCAACGCACACTAGCACTCATGCGTATCATGATTATTTTTAACAAAAATAAGCTGTCGAAATCGAAAGATAGTTTGTGATCAAATCATTCATGAAATGTGGATAGGAATGAATTACGGCCGTGTACGATACCAGTCAGTCAGTCGATCGTTTATTTGTCATCACAAAAATGAGGGATTAAAATAAACATGGACTAACCATCTCTAACGAATTATGACTCTGCTGTGAATATACCAGTGTCCTTTTTGCCGCATCCAACCTGGCAACAATTCAAATATGTTCTTTATAATTTGTTTTCGTGCAGGGAAGAAAAACTCCTCAAGATACTTTTGAACCGCCAAAGACTGACAGAGAATGGTGGAGAGTTACACTGAAGGTACTGTTGCATTAAACATGGACCAGAATTAATTACTGAAATATTTCTAATGACTGATTAGGTATATATTTTTTATAGGCCCACTATTTATAAATGCATTTTCAAAGATTGTACTATTGCGATTTGAGATTTTTGGCGGCATTACACCCTATCCCATGTTGCAATTGATATCAACAACCATAAATTTTCAAGACGCGGTAAAACTCTGGAATGATCAGTACATTCAGTATAATATACAATTTTTACAATGAATAATGAACAAACTTATCACGAGCCTTTCCTTACAGGAAACGCCAGTTCCGGGAACATATGAATTTCGAGATTTTCTAGAAGATAAAGAACTAAATAAAATCAAAGCGACTTACAATTTCAAGGTAGATTCTATGTCTGATTATTTTATGTATGTAACCTTTTGAGATCGTTACAAATATATATTGGTGCATTACTTAGCGTTGACAGCGAATGGCGCTTTAGCGGCAAGTTTTGTCATTTTTCGACTTTGAGCAAGGAATGGCAAGAGCATTGCGTACTACTTTGTTCCAATTGCTGTAGAAAATCAATCAAGCTTTTTTCAGGGCGAAGGACGAAAAAAGCAGTGGGGAGTTGTTAAAAATGGGCGAGTTTTACTCCCGGGTGCATACGAGTATCAGGATTTCGTTTATAATCTCGAAAAACTTCCATTGACGTACACCTTCAAAGATTCCGGTAGAGCACGTAATTTGCCCGGGATCAAAGATAAACACGTGAACGCCGCACCATGGCAGTACGAGACAGTGCGAAAGCCAGTTGAAAAGAAACCCATATGGTTAGTAAAGTTGGTTGGTAAGCTACTTACCTTTGCAAAAAGCACTGGACAATACCGGCATATTTGTGGGAGTTTTACATTTACTCAACGACGGTTGTCGTAGAGTATTTTTGATAACATTCGTCTAATATTTCTTGTGTTTTGTCGAGAAACAAATATAATTATTAAACATAAAAAAAATTTGATATGATTAAAATGTTGTTTTTCAGGCACGGATCCTTCAAATCACAGTCTCCACGATTCCCAGCAAAGTATTTTGTACCGGTATGTAGTATCCCATACACAATTGAACTTAAATTAATCATAAATGACAACATAGAATAAAGGTCATACCATCCTATTACTTTCACCTATCTAGTACTGTTCGAGGCGATGAAAAATGAACCGCTGAATTAAAAACAATGTCTTATAGAGTTCATATTGCCACAAATGATTAAAAACATGGTTATTATTTCAATTCAGTTGTTCATATATATATATAACTACGTATTTCTCGATTTTTTTCGACAGAAAGAAGGTCCTCCTCCTGGCTATTACGACCCCGCTAACCAAGAAACTAAGTGTCAAATATCATCAAGTTTCGTATCAAGAACGCCGAGATTTTCTACATCTCAAACGGTAATATCTTACGCTAAGTAATAACGCTAAGTCTAAATTTAAAACAAGACAGCTGTCTTCACACTGCATTAATATATGTTTTTGTAACTATAAACTCGTTGAATGCGCAAAATTAAATATTTTGTTTTGTGGGTTGTGCAATTTTCAATAAATATATCTCTCAAAATTAGTTACTAAATAGAAGAAATACTAGGAATGGAGGGGTATAAATAACAATTATACCCGAAAATATATGGCAAAATACAGCAGCAAGTTAAAGAGCACTAACGCAATGCCAGTAGAGGCCTATAGCCATATCCTCTCTTATTCAAAAGATTGGGTTAAACGTCAGTCTTCGGAGACTATAGCTGTTTTAAAAGAAATAGAAATATAGCTAACAAGACTTCTATAAACGAGAAAGAATGCAAAAATCCTTTTATATTGACTATAACAATTAATTAGTTATTGGTGATAGATACCGTAAATTAAAAATTGAAAGTGCCTCCAAGTTATATGTAGGTAATAATAATCTCCAGAACGGACCATGACCATGATCAAATCATTGTCATATTTAACATTCAGAAAGTTCCAGGACCGGGTTCGTATGCTTCGACTTATCAAACTCCGCAGACGAGTACGTTGATCAAGATGGGTCGAATGCACGGATTGTTTTTCAGAAACGCTTTTGAAATATAAACGGGACTTCTGCAGGAAACATAAAGAAGGACAGTGATATCACCGTATTATGGGGGAAAGTACTTCATGCCCCATTTTTGTTCAAAATAACGAATATAAACCAGTTGGATGCATTGCAATATCAAGACAACAGACGAATACAACTATACAAGTATTATGAACCGTTTGATATATATAATCCCACCGCCAACGTAAATCTACGTGTCGTTCCCACTAGATGTGGTTCCCTGCTACTGTCTTCATAATACCTGCAATTTATTTCGCAACAGAAGATAGATATTTCAAGAATCCTTTACGGTGACGATGAGCGAGATGACGAAAAGTGAAGAATCGATCACTATTCGTAATATTGAGCCATGGTTTATTATTTTTGATACGCTTATGCCCCTAAGAGATTATTCACACATTGCCTATATTTTGTATTTACCTCATTTATTTATATCCCATAAATGCCGATTGCTGTATTCCGTATTGTTTTTTGTGCAATGGCACATACGTTCTAATCAAGCTTAGTGAGTTATGTTCCAGCTGGCATTCTAAAGATTTGATTGTTGACAGATTCGACGAATTTGCAAACAGATCCAGTATTGAGGTCGCTCTATAACCAATAATATTTACTCTACCTGCGTCCTTGATCAACGCATTAGCGTAAAAATATTATTATGCCTTTTCATTTAGGATGAGGACACCGTTTGTTCGCCTTAGTTTATTTTCCGTTAGTATCCAATGTGAGGACGGCCAACGTCGCAAGGTCAATATTAATTCTAAATGCATACTGTATCTAGTTACGTCGACCGGACTGATGAAGGTCGGGAGCTTTAGCAGAATGGTAACATTTGAAGACCCATCGCATAAGCCATAGCATACATCAAAACGCATAGCGTTCGCTTACACAAATCTTCAAGGTGTAAGGCACACCTGTAAATAACAAGAAATAAGCTAAAGCCAAAACTTTATCGACGCGTTCAAAGATAAGAGTAGGCTTCCCAGGATCAGATTATCAAGAGTACCACAAATGCCCGAATTGATCTTCTGGAGTTAGTCACATTGAACGATTCGCACACAGAAAGAAGGGCATAAGGCTGCGTGCACTATAAATGCTGTATGTTATCGTAAGACAAGAATGCAGGACTCGTATGACGCAACTCGAAGCTGACAAATTCGAAGAGCAAAATGACTGAAGCTCAAGACAATGTTTGTGAATGCATTCACACATCTTATATGCTATTATGTTTGCGATATTCTATTTATTGTTATACCGTAGTGTATATATTTACGGTTATACGAATGTTAGTAAACGAGCAAATACGGAGGCGACCAAGATTGTTCATCCCCTTCTGTAAATATTACCAAATATTTATTTCGTCAACCAATTGTTGACGCGTGCGAACGGATAACAATCTTTTTTGGACACGTCAGTGTACATAACGATCGTTTCAATATTACGATGTTGTTGGACACGAAATGGACATAACGATCGTTTCAATATTATTGGACACGTTTAGTGGACATAACGATCGTTTTGTTGTTATGTTGTTCTTGTTCTTGTTGTTCTTTGGCACGATTTGGACAAAGGCTATTACTTTTATTTTTTACTATGACGTCATCAAAGTATGTGGCGCTACGTGTCCATATATTTGAGCATAGCTCTCTTGTTCTTGTTACCTTTCGTCATGAGGAAATCGCTTTTCTCTTCGAATACAGGACCAAATGCTTTGAAATTTTCAGTGGTTAAAGATTGAGTTTTTTGCCATAAGGCTATTAATTTCTGTGGACTTCAAGAGATTCGTTTTTTATGTGTCAGAATAAAAAATATCGACACCTTGTGACGTGTCCATATATTTGAGCACAGCTCTCTTGTTGTCCTAGTCTGCAGATCCAGCGAAGCAACAGCCAGGGGCGTAAATTGCGGGAAAGAAAGACCCCCTCTGAGATTGATTCCGATAAGGTTGGTAACGTGCCATACATATACTGCCAAGAATATGTATATACCGCCAACTCATATACAGCCAACCAAATATACATATACTGCCGGTGCGCGTCGTTTTGGATAAATATCCAATAGGCACCATTTCTATGATGTTATAATAAACAACAACAGCTGATCGTTATTAACACAAAAAATGTGCTGGCTGTAAATCTTTTTTCAGAGACCTATTCTTTGGCTATTGACAATAAACTGTCCACAAAATGATCAAATTAACGCTTGGGGAAAATATAAAACATAAATCTGCCGGTGCGCGTAGTTTTTGATAAATAATCAATAGGCATGAATTCTATGATGTCATAATACCCACAACAACTGATCGTTGATAACACGAAAAGTCTTGATAAATATCCAATAGGCGCCAATTTTAAGATGTTATAATAACCCACAACAGCTGATCATTGATAACACGAGAAGTGTGCTGGCTGTAAATCTTTTTTCAAAGAACTATTCTTCGGCTATGGGCAATAATCTGTCCACAAACTAATCAAATGACGGAAACTGACGGTGCGCGTTGTTCTTGATAAATATCCAAAAGAGAATCCTATTTCTTCATTGCTACCATGTTATTCTTATGTTAATGGCATTTCCACATTTTTCTGTTACAATGGTCTTTGCATAAAAAATGACATATTTAGTTTTTTTATTCAAGAAACTGATAGCCTAACATCAATTTCCTAATTTAATTTCTTTTTAACCAAGTGCATCGGCATATCTCGTTTTTCCATCAAAACCGTTTTGGCGTTTCTGTAAGCGTAAGCACTCTACCCCAATTCGTCAACGAACATCGCCTCATCTTATAAAATAATCTGGCGAGGCTTTCTTGATCAATTAATATGTTACTTGAGTAATGATAGTTTGCACCAAACTTTAATCTGATTGGTCTGTAGACAGTTTACTGCCAATGGCAAAAGATAGTTAAGATATGGGTCAATTTTCCACAAGAATCTAACCCAAGGAAAGCAGTTTGATTTCTCGTCCAATTGCGTAATCGGCTTGCTTTTTTAATAGGTCAACCACTGGGTGTCAACCTAATTTCTAACCAAAGGTAAGTTGTCGGTGATATCGATCATACGCGACAGTTAGCTTGTTCTAATAGGCCACCTCGACGCCTTCCATTAGATACCGACAATTCCCTAATGAAGACAAGCAGTCCAATCCTTATAACATATATCTAGCTCGGTTTTAACCAGATTACCAATCAATTAACAACCCTAAATCCCCTGGGTTGTAATACACATATATCAATTTGATGGATGTCACAGAGATATAAATGCCCTTGCTAAAAGACCAAAAGTCTGATCTCTTGGTTTCAGCCGCATATGCTATCGAGCACTCAATGTTGTTGTTTTTTACTTTGTATTAAAATGAATTATGAAATATTAACATCAATTTCCTAATTTAATTTCTTTTTAACCAAGTGCATCGGCATATCTCGTTTTTCCATCAATAACCGTTTTGGCGTTTCTGTAAGCGTAAGCACTCTACCCCAATTCGTCAACGAACATCGCCTCATCTTATAAAAATAATCTGGCGAGGCTTTCTTGATCAATTAATATGTTACTTGAGTAATGATAGTTTGCACCAAACTTTAATCTGATTGGTCTGTAGACAGTTTACTGCCAATGGCAAAAGATAGTTAAGATATGGGTCAATTTTCCACAAGAATCTAACCCAAGGAAAGCAGTTTGATTTCTCGTCCAATTGCGTAATCGGCTTGCTTTTTTTCAAGGTCTACCACTGGGTGTCAACCTAATTTCTAACCAAAGGTAAGTTGTCGGTGATATCGATCATACGCGACAGTTAGCTTGTTCTAATAGGCCACCTCGACGCCTTCCATTAGATACCGACAATTCCCTAATGAAGACAAGCAGTCCAATCCTTATAACATATATCTAGCTCGGTTTTAACCAGATTACCAATCAATTAACAACCCTAAATCCCCTGGGTTGTAATACACATATATCAATTTGATGGATGTCACAGAGATATAAATGCCCTTGCTAAAAGACCAAAAGTCTGATCTCTTGGTTTCAGCCGCATATGCTATCGAGCACTCAATGTTGTTGTTTTTTACTTTGTATTAAAATGAATTATGAAATATTAACATCAATTTCCTAATTTAATTTCTTTTTAACCAAGTGCATCGGCATATCTCGTTTTTTCATCAATAACCGTTTTGGCGTTTCTGTAAGCGTAAGCACTCTACCCCAATTCGTCAACGAACATCGCCTCATCTTATAAAAATAATCTGGCAATAATCAATTAATATGTAACTTGAGTAATGATAGTTTGCACCAAACTTTAATCTGATTGGTCGGTAGACAGTTTACTGCCAATGGCAAAAGATAGTTAAGATATGGGTCAATTTTCCACAAGAATCTAACCCAAGGAAAGCAGTTTGATTTCTCGTCCAATTGCGTAATCGGCTTGCTTTTTTAATAGGTCTACCACTGGATGTCAACCTAATTTCTAACCAAAGGTAAGTTGTCGGTGATATCGATCATAAGCGACAGTTAGCTTGTTCTAATAGGCCACCTCGACGCCTTCCATTAGATACCGACAATTCCCTAATGAAGGCAAGCAGTCCAATCCTTATAACATATATCTAGCTCGGTTTTAACCAGATTACCAATCAATTAACAACCCTAAAGACTATATCCCCTGGGTTGTAATACACATATAGCAATTTGATGGATGTCACAGAGATATAAATGCCCTTGCTAAAAGACCAAAAGTCTGATCTCTTATTCTCTTGGCTTCAGCCGCATATGCTATCGAGCACTCAATGTTGTTGTTTTTTACTTTTTATTAAAATTAATTATAAAATATTGGTTATTTTATTGCCCTAAGCGAGCCAAAAATTGAAAAATGCGGACTTGTATATTTATTTTCCATCCGTTATCGCTATCATCATTCCCATCAGAATGTCCTTCCTGGAAGAAATTTAATATTTTCATTGAATGTTACCATTACATATCAGTCGACGCTACATGGTACGTGCATATGGTCTTTCAACGAACTCCATCATATCTTTTACCCTAAAACTCTTCTAACGAACTCAACATTGCATATTTGACACTGCTAGTGTCAAATTTCTGCTAGTTCATGCGGCAGATGCGGTCCATGTTTACATTTCGTTGCACGAGTTTTACTCCGACGATAGCACATTAAGAGGACAATCTTGGGGTTCAAGCACAGAATAAAAAGTTACACGATGATTATAATTAGGAAATCGCCTTATTGTCATTTAGATTTATTGATAAATAATAGGTAAACAACACAACGATGTCAGTAGCGTTTCAGACAATATTTCTTTATTGTTGAGAGACTCACTATAGGCAATCCAGATTCAGGCCAAATGCTTTTGCGATCTGCAGCATAGTGAATATTCCATGACAAGCTGCATGCTCTTCCATGGCTTCGAGTACAGCTAATCTTTTCTCCTTGTAACGATAAAACGGAAAATCTCACTACCTCAAGTGAAACTGATTAGATTTAAAAGCAATATCATAACCGTCGAAGTTTAGAAGTGTTCCGCCCTACAACACTCTTTTGGTTTGGACTAGTAGAAAGACATTGTAATAAAGTCCCGATAAAGTGGAACATGGTATTTTCAATTTTAGAAAGGTTACAAAAATATTTGAACAACAACAAATTTTAGTTTTTTTGTGTGGCTAAATGCTGAAGACGCCTGTGGCGCCGATATTTAAAATCCAAAGTTAGTGAAGCTGGAAAATACGATTTAAGAATGTCGAGTTTTTTGCTGTGAATGAGTGACGACCCAATTTTTCAATAATTGACATTCATCATTTATTTTCCATTTCGACGATTAACGGATCATCCAAATGATCAGAAAAAAACGCCGAATCTCCATCCGTTCAGTAGTTTTACTCAATAATCGGACTGCGTCGAAAAGGAAGCTGACTAAGCCAGCAAAGCATTCTGCGGTTCCGATAATTAATTTATGCCGAATCTGTCTCATCAAGCTGAGATCGCAATTAAATTCACATGATCAGTTGATGCTTCAAGCTACCTGATCAATCACAAGTTGTCAGTTTCTGTGAGATTGAACATTAAAACAATTCACAGAACACTTTACTCGTATAATTTTGCAATTATAATTTTGCGCAAAACCGAAGCAACATTGGATGAACAATATTTATTACCCACATCGTTTTACACTCGGGAGTCACATTGGCCAGTGTTTATCAACAAATAGGCAATATTTTTATGAGTTTATTACCAGGTGCGTCACTAAGATTGCAGACATCTGTACCCACTGGATCTCTGGGTTTGCAAATGTAATCACATTTGGGTGACAGCGCACATTTAGGTGACGGGGGGAGTAGGAAAATCGCTGGTATCTTATAATTTTATTATAACAACAACGTCATTGAAATATTCCTTATTGAAAACATGAATCTGTCATTTTCCCTCAAAGTCGTTGCTCCTTTAGGATAGGATTTACATATGTATCTCGGGGGAGAGTAAAATCGATTGAGCGGCTTAATGTGTCGAACCACGTCCTCCCGTCCAGTTACCAGTCCATATCGGGTATGCAGGGCTGCCATAACGTCCTTATCTCTAAGATTTGTCCTTATTTTGAAGGTCTTTGTGTTAAAAAATATTTTTGTTCTTGCTTAAAAGAAACGTCCCTATTTTGACACGTGGCCTTGTTTTTGTCATTTTAGGGGTCGAGGTTCTTATACCGTGCACTTAGTTGGTCAATTCGAATAATGGATTTGCTAGAAATGATTAAAACCTCATTGATTGCTACACGCATTCGTGACTTGATAACATCAAATTAATTGCCACATTGAAATAAACAATAGCCTAGAGGATCTTTTCGTGTAACTTGAATCAAAATACAGTAGTGAGTAAGAGCTTTGCAGTTGATGAGTAGAATTATTCAAGATCTGATAGATATGATACGTGTAGCAATACTGATTTCGTTTTCTGGCGTTCTAAGCGACTGTCTTCTCCCCAAGCATTTCAGCATGTGTTAATTGCTACACGCATTCGTGACTTGATAACATCAAATTAATTGCCACATTGAAATAAACAATAGCCTAGAGGTAAAGATCTTTTCGTGTAACTTGAATCAAAATACAGTAGTGAGTAAGAGCTTTGCAGTTGATGAGTAGAATTATTCAAGATCTGATAGATATGATACGTGTAGCAATACTGATTTCGTTTTCTGGCGTTCTAAGCGACTGTCTTCTCCCCAAGCATTTCAGCATGTGTTAATTTCAACTTTATAGTTAGTTCAGAATCAGTGCTTCAGACCAAGGGTCCGCAAATACAGGGTCGCAACCCAAAGTTGGGTCGTAAAACCCTCTACTCTGGGTAGCAAAATAATTAAAATTTTTCCATAAATATAAGTATCGTGTCTGTGTGACGTATTTATATACCCAACATTACAAATTTCTAGCAATAATTATCAATGATTCCCCAAGCATCGACTTCCCTATTTACTGCCGTGACCTTGGCCAATCAGCATAAGTGTAAAATTTGACATAACCATAAAATTTTAGCAGCCGCTCCGACACTTTTGTGTCACTCAGACAAATTTTCATGGTTGTGAATATAACCTCTTTTTTGCGTGCTATTTGTTAGTTTTTAGTTGTGCTTTGGTAAATATAAGCCTAAATCAACTAACTCAATGATCATTTTGTCTTCGTACAAGTTTCATCCTGGTTGCAGTAATCAAATATTAGTCCAGAAATAGCTGTAATAGACTAGGCTAAAATTTTCACCGGTAGATTTGAATGAAACGTTGTTTGATGTTTTTATTAATTGAAATGATGGTTTAATTAAAACATATAACTCGTGAAACCACTCATGGAATAAGTACCGACAATTTTGCACAGATAGCGTAATAAAACTTTCCGTGAATCGAAAGTCAGGGAAACATTCATGACAGAATTACTTGCATTTTTATTATTCTACCACGTAATCAATTGTATTGTTTCGCAGCAATGCGAGGTTAGCAGTAGCTGTGTGGAATTGCATGATAAGACAGATAATGATCATATTTGTGCTTAGTTTCGTATTATTTTGTGCAAAAAAATTCTAGTATCATTAATAGTTCTAAAATCGTTAACTAATTATATGCTTACCAAATACTTGGGTCGCGAGAAATTAGAGGAAGAAAAAATGGGGTCGCGCCAGAAAGTAGTCGCGGGCCCCTGCTTTAGACAAAACATGAATATGTATATACGTCAATTAAACTTTAAATTTAGTTTAGATCTGGAACTCCATAAGACATAAAATGAGTAAACGTATAAACATTTATCGTGATGATTATGAAAAAAATACTACGGCGTCAAACGAAACGAAGGGCCAATGTTTTGCGCATCGCAGCTTTTGTGAATGTAACATTAATCTGGAATCCACAGGTAAAGCAGCGATTTCTGATCACGCTGTAAATCAGAAGCACAAGGACGGAATTTTATGAAATCAGCGAACCGGTTAGCATTACTGGTTACTGTCAATGACTTTTTGTAACAAAACTGTGTGAAAAATATGACTTTTGTGATGAAACCGGCTGACAAAAAAATGAATCCCACCACTGGACGGGTCGCACTGGCATGAATACATTTTGTTCTTTGTTATCTTATTGTTATGTTCCCCTGTCCTAATTTTTGGGTTCATATCAATAGCAGCCTTGTGGGTATGGGATCAGTTTGCCAGTTTTATATTTTATTTTCAGATTCATGGACTTGATGGTGGAGGAAGCCGCAACCGACCTGTGGTTACGTGAACCACCCTAACGAAGCTAGTAGTCCAGCCATTCTCTCGCACACAATTCACTCCAACGGGATTCGAATCTGCGAACACGCGCAGGGTAATCAGCAGTGCAATTTTCCGAACGCGCACCACATCGACCGCCTCAGCTATCCCCACCACAAGTGAATTCAACAACGTTAGTGTGGCGACAATGTTTCAGACGATTTTTCGATTTTTTATTGTTTCGACGACGAAACAATACCGAAATGCTATGTTTTGGTTATCACTAATTGTTAACTGTATCAGCAAATGTGACGCGGGCCACATGACCAACCTGGTTTAGAGTCTACACAAGGGGTACTCAACTTCCCAAGTAAAAGGACCGCATTTTAACCACAAAAGATGCGACGGGCCACAGAATAATATTGTCATGTATCTATTCTATACTATTTAATTTATTTATTAGTCCGATACTGACGTTTAATATGCTTCTTGTAATCATTTTTATGCATTCCGAAACATAGTTAATGCATAGCATTCGTAAGTTTGCAGTTGCAACTTCTCCCCTAGCGTGAGCTATGACAGAATTTTACGACATGAGGAAAATATAATTATACTCAATAACAACAATGTTTTAGCGCATTTCCGAAGGTAGATAGAGGGTGTGATGAGCTAGCTAAGTAACTCCTTCCTATGTAACAATACGTAATTCATTTGTTTTCTGTGATAACACAATCCACACTCCGGAGGTCTTATCGTGGATTGTAAAGGATGAGAAGAATGATACCGTATTGAAATATTGTTTATATTCGTTATGTTGCAGATATCCTGATATATGTTTGGCTTCATCAAGGATCTTTGCAGGCCGCGGGTTGAGAACCCCTGGTATATCCTCAAGAGATGATTGAATCCATTTTTAATGGATTTCATCTGAGCGCCTGGAGTGCGGGGTCAATTTGTATTAATTCGCCTCGGTCTATATGGCAGGTCTTGGACCATCTGATTTGTAACGTTTTTGCTCAGTGCTACAATGTGCTACATGTATATATCACGGTCATGAGGAACTCCAACACGTTGCCCATTTTGATTTGACCCTTCAACGTTCGATCACTGTATCCCAAAATTAGCATATGAATAGACACAAAAGTGATTGTCACTGCACTGTAATATCATTTATTTCTTTCAAACAAACCAGAAAACCACTATTACATCAAGAGTGCACCACCAACTACAGTGCAGGGTTCTTATTCTTACGTCCAGGGGCTGCCAAAATATATTGTGTTACCAAATGAATAGTACCAGAAATTAATTGTTTGGGAAATTTTCTAAATGTTGCCATTATAATTGCGATTTCATAGGCATGTAGACCACTGACTTTCTATAAGTCGAAAATTGTTTCAGTGAAAAATCAAAATGGAACTTGATCAAGAACTGTCAGTGTAAGTTTAAAAACGAATTTTACAGCCCAAATAGATGAACAAATTAGAGGTTTGGGGAAATGAAAGTGAAACGCATCTAACATTTGGAAAACTTAGTAAATAAGATTTTCAATGTTAAAGTGCATCCCAATGCTTAAGTACATTCTTTATAACAACATAATGCAAAGTCTCTCTTCCTGCAACTTGTTGAGCTTGCCCATAGAAAGATATCCAAAAATATGATCATCAGCCAATATGGATAGAGAATAAGCCACTTGTAATTGATTTACCTCTGCCCAATTGAATGAAAAACATGCAAAAGAACATTTTCTTATGGATTCCCCCATGCACAACAAATTACAGCATAAGTGGGCTTAGCATTTACTCTACTGAAGAGCCATGATGGGAACCATTATCTCGTGTCAAACTAGATTTTAACAGTCCGACCACAGAGTTTGAATTGCTTCTGTACTTGCATCCACACATCTCACCACGCCATGTAAATTTTGAATTCGATCAAGATTTTCAATTTCAAACCATGTATTAAATTTAGTATTTTTCCGTAGTATGAATGCAAGACAGAGCGTGCTTCAATGGCAAACCACTATGCCCAAGTGATAAGCCAGTAGCAAAAAATTTAACTTGCACAGTGCAAGGATAGGCAAATACAATGATAGAAAAAACTTGACATACAGGTCATACACAAATCTAGATGAGAAAAGATAGGGCTCTTAAAGTCTGATTTTTCTAGTCAATTTTGCTTAGTTTGGTATGATCCGAATGTCAAGTTTTAACTATCTCATAGTTTAGAGGAATGGTTAAACAACACAAGCTCGCTTGGCAGCAATGGCAAAGCGAAAAAAAGGTGGAATAAAAAAATATACTACTCATCAAATTAAAATATTACTCGTCCTCTTGATTCACTCAAAAAGACGGGGAAATGAAGTAGCAAACGTAGAGCTAGTTTTATGCAAATATCTATTGTGGTAAAACCGTTTTGGCAATTACTAACCATAACAAGATGGGAGAAGATGAGTTTGTTTTGTTTTTTCAATTTGTTTACCATGCTAGAACCAGACTGAAAATATTAAACTGCAAAATGCAAGGTTGCCCAACGAGGATGAACTTGAAAGATTGTATCGTTTGAATACAACCTTATTTCTGCATCAAGGTCTATCAAGGAACTATTTACAAAAATCACGCCAAAACCAAGTTGGAAAAAGATTGTATGATATCTTAAACTCATATATATTATGATCTGCCACCCCAACATGATACCGGTTTAGTTCAGACCACCTCGCCGTAACCTGGCCATTCTTCAAAAATCTCCTTCCGGATTGATCAGCTTTATCTTGGTTTCACTGAACATTGTACCATTTAGTACTATTCTCATATGCTTCAGACAAAAGTTAATGTTGAGTAGTTTTTGAGGCGTCTCGCGGCATTCATGTTGCAAGGGGCAATTTTTCTGCAATCTTGTTCACTGTGGATTGCAAAACCAAATAGCGGAAACAGGCTTAGGCAGAATACAAAGTCATAAAATGGAACATAGCATTAACCCGGATAACAGCAAGTAATGCTTCTGTCCAAAAAACATTAAAAACAAGCACCAAACAATACCTGGTTAGACTTTGTGGCCAGCCACACATGTGGTAATGAAAATACACTTTCACATGCAATGGTATAAACAAAATCCTAGAAATTATATTCAAGTCAATATGCAATAATGTTGAAGTTTGAAAACTGATGAAAAAGTAGCAATTTTGGGGGCATCATGGTTTCAATTTGAATTGTTAACTTCAGAAATGAATAATTGTTGAAATTTGCATCGCAACATAGGAGTCAGTAAATATTGACAGAATGAGTTGATGGTAAAACCATTTACAAAGCAGCAACTCAAATTGAACATGCCAAAAATGCTACTTTAAGAAACAACAGACACGTGGTTTGTTGAATATTGATAAAATACATTATTTAAATGGGTATATCGCTTCGTAATGTTTATTGCATACGAAATTGCTCGAAACCTGATGTGGCTTGTATGAAACAGTTGCTTTTAATAGAATCAGAGAAGTGGGTCAGTTAGTTATGATCCGACTGTGACCTAAATTGAATTAATGAGAAGTATTTAAATCATAAGACTAATGTACTGTAAATCGAGAGACAATGATATTATCTCAAATGAAAAAACAAAAGACAATTTTTACAATAAAAGTTAAATTCAATACAATAAAAAAGTGTAGAATGAAGGTCAAAGTCAGCCCCTCTGAAGAATAGCTTGAAACTGAATAATTTGATCATTTTTGTCAAGGAGCAATATCCAAACTCCATAGCAATGTTGATATTTCCTTTTTAAATAACCAGCTTGGCATGGGGGCAATTTAAGATAAAGCTAAAAGGTGCCCTGGACAATTAATTAAACTTTTGCCCAAGTTTTGGTATATTTTTTTAACTGGGGCAACAAAATTATTATGCAGTTGCAAAACGACAGAATCAACTCAAACAGATTACAATAACTCTTTTCTTAGAGTGGAGTGGATAATAAAATAGCAAAAGTTTTGAATATCGTTTCAGCTGATATTATTTCGGCATAAGTACTCCCAGCAATCATAGTCAATACTACTGTAATCACAATTTAATGATCTTGGTTCAGCATCGGACTTGTGAAAGGAAAATGATGAATTTGGGGCATTCCTTTGACCTTATTTTGGCAGATATTTGAACAAATACGCTACTCTCAGGTATTTTAAGAATACACGATACTTAATTTAAGATTTTTTGCTGTCATCGTTTTCTTCCTGAGAGAATTCGGCAACGTAAAGTGATTTGTCGATGACCTGGTATCAAAATATGAAAGTATTAGATAACATTTATTAATACTAATATTAGTAATGAATAGTTGTTTCACTGAATAATTACTGATAATACAATAAGAAAATGCAATTCAATAGGAATATTAATACTCACAGGAGGAATGGGTTTTATATCAGTATGCAATTCATCCTCAATTGCCTTCAAACTGAAACGATCCTGGTAAGTTATGAGATTGATCGCAAGTCCAAGGTGGCCATATCGTCCTGAAATTATTTTGCATTATTCAAAGCCTCTTTATAATTATCATAGATTCATAGTACAATCCAGAAAATAAGGTGGCAGATAAAGAAGGCAGTTTCAAACACTGATCTTATACAATGAATAATAAGTTTTAAAGTTAAGAACTATGTTTACCGACATCATTAAATTAATGAAAATACCTGATCGTCCAATGCGATGTAGATAAGTCTCTGACATTTTTGGAAAATCAAAGTTGATCACAACATTAACAGCTTGTATGTCAATTCCTCTTGTGAAAAGATCACTACAAACAAGATTTCTGCAGAGGCCTTGTCGAAAATCATGGAAAACGCGATTGCGATAATCCTATAAAAAACATGTTCATTGAAGTCATCTTGATTATTTCAAATTGGAATATGTTTCATCATATACAAACATCCATTCAATAGTGAGGCAGTGAAGTCATTTAAAATACATTTGCAGAAAGAATTGTTTAACAAGATTTGTAAACATAACAACATTTTCAACTAATTTACTGAATAGCAAATATTGTCAAATCTATCCTGACTGGTACTAGGAAATTTAGTCGAAACGCCAGACAAAATTAAATAGTTGCTGATTGGAAATTTGAAACATTCTGCAGTAGGCTACTTCTCAAACTTATTGATATGCTTATATTACTGCGACTAAATGCTAACTTTGTAAATGTGGTTGAATCATGGTCAATGTCAATATACGGTGATCAGAAACTCTTTCATTGTCAATTCAGATAACCAGAAGTCATTTCGCAATATATTTTTACATTTTTCAGATGTTCAAGTGAGATGGTATATTCGTTTGGCTTGTTCACAAAAGATAAAGTTGGGCGACAATCGAATATACCGCTCTCAAGATGTCAGTTAACTATCAGACCTCAATTGTAATCATTTAAGAACAGCTAACTGAGCAAAATAAACCTACCTGCTTCATCCTGGCATGAATATAGAAGCATGAGTATCCAAGTTCAGTGATTTTCTTTGCCAGTAATTCAACACGATGAGTAGAGTTGCAAAATATTATTGACTGATTGATTTGCAACTGAACAAATATATTAGAAGTTACTGAACAATTCATATTTAATCTATATGCAATATATGTTTGATATGAGCTGATAGAAATGAATTTGCAAAATTTATATTTCAAACTAGCTGACCGATAAATAGACAATATCCTGAGAATGGGACATGTGTGTATACTTAATCCGAATAGACCAATGGAAATATTTCAGACAAAAATAATTTTAAATCTCATAAACTAAATTTTATTGACATCCTAAAATATGAAATGCCACTTTGGGTAAACTTGCAATTTTGCGCAAGTAACCAAACAGATGAATTGAAGGAGAATACATAATGTTTCCATTACTATTTGCTGCATAAATAACAATTCAATCCTTATTACCACGTAAATTGGAAAATATTACAAATATAGTGATGAGATTGCATTTCTATTACTATAATTTCAATTTTCAATCCAAATCGCTTGATGTACATACTAACTCTGATGGAACAATTTGTAATTGAAGTGCAAAATTTTGGTATTTACCGTATTTGAAATTAGATAATTATCGAATGAAATCATGTACCTTGGAAAACAAGGTGTTCAAACAATGAACCTTGTTTTTTTCTTCAAGAAAAGCGTAATATTGAGTGACTCCTTTCAGAGTTAGCTCATCCATCAAATTTATCTCATATGGCTTCTTCATATGCTTCCCCTGTCAGAGCAATATTAAAGTATTTAATATGAAATAATACTTTGTTATAAAGATACATCTGAAATTAGTTTATTTATAAATTGTAGACTGCTAAATTGTGAATTGTAGCTGATTTATTCATGAGAAATTTATCTATAATATCTATGAATATTTGGATAAAATTTGTGTTAATTGCTAATTTTCAAGCATCCGTTTATAACTTATGGAGATCAATTAAACCATTAGAGAAAAACAACCAGAAAGAAAATAATTTCATAAATTTCCTCGATCACATTTAATAACAAGAATATTCGTATCTATAAAATAAATGTATTCAACAAGGTTCTTCGTAGAAAATCAGAAAAGTATAAAATTAAAAGTTAATATATTACCGTATGTCCTTGTGATGTTGTGCTACCAGAGTAGTAAACTTACCATAAATTCTTTCACTGAGCAGGGAAAAGTAGCAGAAAATAGCAGGATTTGTCGATTAAGTGGAAAGAAAGACACAATATCATCGACCATGCGTTTGAAATCTTGTGAAAGTAGTTTATCAGCCTATGAACCAAGATACGATATTTAATTAATTTCTGAGACATGTGTATCTTCACTGTACCCTATTGTGACTAATGTCAATCAAATGAGCATGGCATACCATAAAATGTCTTCATATTATAACTCATATAGTTAGCACATGATAGAAAAACAACATCATTTTTATAATTGATTCATTAACTTTTAAATATGGATTTCATTAGTCAGTCGTATGACACATGTGTGCACTGGAGATGCCCTATTAATATCACTATTATTGACCATGGCGCTGCCGCTTAAGTCATCCTATTATGACTGCACAGTAAAATAGTATTATATTTGTATTGTACAAGCACTCACTCATAAATATGAGGCAATCATGGCATGAATACACATGCCCACTTGCATTTAGGTATATCTGAATAAAGCTTGACGAATAGTTTAAACAAATAAGTCCACTATGCTACTTTCTGCCTGGAGTAAGAACAGAGTAAGATAAAATCTAGTGATTATTCAAATGAGTTAAAAAGAACATGGAATCACATATACCTCATCCAATACCATTATGTTGCAGTGGTCAACTTTAGCAATTCCTTTACCCATTAGATCCAAAATTCTTCCAGGAGTGGCAATGATAACATGGACTGAAAGTGGTGTGCAAAAATAAAAATATTGAAGCGCAGTCCGAAGAAAAGTATATACGATAACTTCACTATCAACTTTGCACTATATTGAATATATTATTTGATATAGATGTCACGCTCGCGGGCCAAAATAAAGGTTGCATGCAAGTCATTGGCGGGCCGCACATATATTTAGAAAGTTGGCCGATATGGCCGATAGATCACATTTTTTCACACAGATCAGAAGTTTAATTTTTAGCAGCGAAGACTGACCATTTGAATATTTTCTGCGCCATTAAACCAATTGCACTTAGCATCAACTTTTCTGCATTTTGTTGTCATTTGTCAAATTGTACTTGAATTATAGGCTCATTTAACGAGTAATTGGGAATTATATACTTGTTAGGTTATTATAATACAATTTAGTCTACACGCGTCTCAAAATAAATTCTGTTACGTAAAGATTATAATCGTCAATAGAGTTTTTATGCAATAGTGAGGAGGTTAGAGGTATGAAAAATCTCAAATTAGGCAAAGGGAGGAATTCATCAAAAAGGTTAAGTACCAATTGGTTTCTTGAGATTTGGGACAAAAGGAAAAAGGTATATTTTCTGCACAGCTTGATCAAAGAGTTGCAAGGAAAGTCTTTTTATATACAGTATAGATGAACTAATATTATAACTAATTTTTTACTTATCCAAAAGATCTTACCATTGCTTTCAAGTCTGAGAATATCATCTCTTAAGTTGGTTCCTCCAGTTGTGGCCATCACATTTAAATTTCCCATGTGCCTGCTCATTTCAATGGCAATTTGTGATGTCTGCAATGCCAGTTCACGTGTTGGCACCAAAACCATGGCTAGTATAACATAAAAGAAAGCTTTGTCATTTGTAAACAAAAAATGACCAATACCTAAGTGAGCCAAGTATGTTAATTATTGAATCGTAATGGCCAATAGATGAGAACATAATACTGCTATTGTTTTATCAGTATCAAAAATATAGAGATCAACTTTTTGAGCAACGCATTTAATCGAAATATGAACAAGCTTTAAGAATGTCAACTACAGATATTACTGCACATACAGCAGGAAACCATTCGACACTAGTAAATAGTAAAATAAAATTAATAAAATCAAAATAAATATGAAACCATAATACTATTGTTGCATGTATATTCCAGTCAAGAGTACAACCTATCTTGTTAATCAATCAGCAAGGGTACATAATTATCTACAACCAAAATTTCAGTTTTTCAAGAGCGAATGGAACAAATGAAACTACAAATACTGTTTTATGTTATAGTTGTGCATGGAAACTAATTTAGGCTATCATTAGATTATATCCTGTTTACAAATATACATAGCAATATAAATTATGTGTTACCTTGAACATAATCTTTTGACATATCACATTTTTCCAACAAAGGAATCAGATAGGCACCAGATTTTCCAGTGCCATTTTTAGCTCTTGCTAAAATATCTCGACCTGGAATGACAGTGAATACACAAATAAAGACATTCATTGGAACCAATTTGAACAGATTACTAATAAGACAAATGAAATTAGTAAATCTGGCACAAAAAAAAATATACTGGTACTGGTACATATAAATATATGAATCTTTACGAGCCAATTCCAAAACATTTCATACTGTTACACAGTATAATCTGTCATATTTTAGTCATTTCCTTATCACTCTGTTACTGGGCTCTAATATTATAATTTCAAGTTTTAATTAATTTCAATATATATTTTAGGTCTGTATTTTATACTATATCAATTAACAACATACAACAATGTTGGATGCCAGAAAATAGGTTCATCCTTCACATGAAATTTATTATCACTCAAAGTGCAAAGCAAGTTCCTAAGAGATAAAAAAGTAGGAACCACAGAGTTAGATAAAAATTCTATTATTATTAAGATTAACTATTCTAATATCTCACCAGATAATGCGATAGGAATGCTTTCTTCCTGAATGGGTGAAGGTTTCTCCCAGCCTTTTTCAAAAATACCCATCAATAATTCTCGCTGGAGACAGAAGTCTTCAAATTCATTTCCTTTAGTCGCTGTAACGTCCTGGCATATAAAGTAAAGTAATGAGAACTTCGTAATGGCAATCATGTTAAAGTAACTCAAAAAACATTCTTCTTTCGATTAAATGTAAACAGGTAAAATACTTGTCGAATGTGTAATCATCAATTGTTAGTGCACTTACAGTAGTTTTCTTTCTTCTGTCTTTTGGTGGCAAATGTAAATTTGATTTCCAATCTTCTCCTTCCCTAATGTAAATAAATAAGCAAGTTTGGAAACAAATGAACGACAATCCGTTAACCAATATAACTAGCAAATTTTATCAGGCCAAAGCTTGCATTCATAAGCTTTTCAACATTATTCTGCAGGTAGCCGTGTCTAGTTATGTGCATTGTATGACAAGTTTTTGGCCTATAGTCTTTCAATATGAAATCCCAAAATAATACATTTCCATTTTTAATCCTGTCGATTAATCATTTTTTTTTCGATATTCTTGGTACGAGTTTCCGACAAAGGTACGTATAAATTTACCCATTCCGATTACAAAATTAGATGTAAAGGAATACATTTGAAATGAATAGAATATCGGAATAAATATTGGACTATTGAGAAATGAATTTGAATATTTAAAGACGATTCCGGCATAAAATCATTCAATAGTATGCTTTGTTCAATAATAATAATAATTTTGTTTATAGTGTATTCTTGTGACTTCGCTTTGAGCTGATATTTATCAAAACAAATAAGGATATATATATTTATCCATTTATTAACTGAATTAGTCAATGATTGTCAACTGCAACTGCATACATACTATCAACCACAGACTACTGTCCAAGGCAGTAAGCAAGTAGCGATATAGAATCAAACCTATTTCCTGAAAAACAAAGTTGAAAAAATCCTGCTTACCCAACTTTGCCAGATTGAGGGTGAGAGTTAGCAACAGGCTTATTGTTCTGTTGACGAGAACCTTGAACTGAGTTTGCAGAAGGTTGTCTGCTTGGTCCATTACCAGCAGAATATTTGTGCCCTGATGAGGGCATATGCTGATTAGTTGGTGGCATAACGTTCGCCATTATTCAAATCTGTTCCACAGGGGCGATAAATTTGTAGAAAATTACCAGCATTCAATGCGCAAATTCCCTGAGATCACCACCACAGAAATTGTTAAGTCAATGTAGAACTTATGTTCTGTTAGAAAGTCACAAAAAACTCAAGATGTACAACTGTTTCCTCTGAAGTGCACTGTGCAGAAATTCAAAAATTTCTTTAAATAACTGCTTAATTATGATTCATTCCATAATATGCTATAAAATTTCATAAATAAATAAGATAAAATACAGATGAATATCAGTATCAGTATTGAATGGTATGAATCTCTATCACTAAGATAAGCAAGTATTTCTGAGGGTTGTAAGCAACAGTGTGGTTGATAAATAATATACTGCATTTCAGTACAAGATAAAATTATGATCATATCAAGAGTAAGTGCTAAAGTGGGCATGCACGGATTGCCTGCCAATATATTTTCATCAGGCTATCACTATCAGTATCAGCTATGAAGTAGATATATTCTTACAGGTGATATTGAAATATCATGCTCAGAAAATATACGGTAAGTGTCATATCATTTTTCATTAGAGTGCGAATATCTAAATACCAAACCATATTTGATTATGGTACATGCATTGAGGGGCAGTCAGTGGTTAATCTGTGTTGATGTTCAAGGTAAGGTTTGGCAGCAACTGACACAAAAGAAAATTATGAAAAACTGATGGCCCTACTTCAGTTATTGTATAGATAAGAGCTTAGCTAACTATATTCCTAACTTGTACTACAAAAATGGTGCATCTTTGAACTTGTGACACTAATATCAGTGCTTGAAAAATTGGGATGTCTTCTGGAATGCAGTTTCCTTATTCATTTTTATGATGCAATAAACATTCTTTGCTAAGTATCAAAATCTAATGGTCAGACATGTTAGCCTGAAATGGTCACTGACTCACTGACCACAGATATGGTTATTATGCTTGCACACCTTACTTTCATTTAATGATAATTGTTACCATTGAGCTAACAGCACCACGATGCTATTTTGTTTAATAGACATATGTTGCTTGACACATACTGATTCACCAGTGATCTGTTTTCTATAGTGTGGTGCCAAAGTGAAAGATCGGATTCAGCATTTAATATTACACTAGTTTGTTAGTTTTCGGGTAAAATATTACTGGTAATAGGCAATTGCACATGCTAGGTTGAAAATGCTAAATGATAAAATATGACAGAATTCATCTTGCATTCATTCAATCAAATATTGAAATGTTGTAATTGTAAGTTTACATTTTTCAGTTAATCATTTTAAATAACAATAACATTAAATCAGAATGTGTCGCCAAAATATATCACCTACATGGGAAGTTTGGAAAGCACTACTATAGATGTTATCAAAAGCTCCATTATGCTTTCATTCTTCACTTGCCAATATAACCTTCTATTCTTTCTTCATAGACAAAAGCAATGGGGTGTAGCACCTTGTTCAAAAGGAAGTTAAACTCGCTATTAATGAGCTAAATCAATTTCATCTCAGCTTAATAAACGTTGAATTGGTACCGAACTACAGCCGTAACGGCAGGCTGCACTTACTGAATAAAAGCAATTACCGCGATTCACCCCATAGCAGGGCTACTCAACTATTTTCACCAAAAGGTCGTACACAAAACATATAAATTTACAGTGGCCCGGTCATTCTAAAAATTTTATTTTAACTCTGCAAACAAAACTCCAAGTGCATCATTTAACAAATACAAGATCAATGCTAAATATCACGCATTGGTAATGGTAAGCCAATGGGGATAAATACCCACAATACGATTTCATTTCGATCTTTTCTCTACAAAACAGAACATGAATAAAATAAAAAACACAGAAAATGGTGACGAAAAGATCGGGAAAATGGGCAAAACCTAGAGAAAGGTTCAAAACAGATGCTGTAACCAGCGTTTGTGCCCATGTGCCCATTCACCCACCCTCTTAAAATCAAAGCTACAGAGAACTATTCAAATTACAGAACTAGAGCCACAAAATGCTGCAATAGCTTACCAAAGACAAAAAGAGAATTATCCAAGACAGGCTACAAGTAGCAAAAAATAGCAATGATATTTCGATGTGATATCAAGAAAAAGACTTTTATTCTTACAAGTATTAGAAAGGACAAACACACTGTTAGTTCTTAATCTGGATTTTGAGTTTTTCCCTTACGAATATCGATCCATTATTGTGTTTTGTAGAACACCAAATGTGTTATTCCCGGTGACTCTATGGAACAATTTTGCATGTTGTGATTTGCAATATATTTTTACATTGCCAGCTACATGTTTTGTGTCATTGCCCAATCAGTTGAGTTATGGGGTTTAAACAAAACTGCACCAAAGTTACATAAAAGACTCATTAAAAACACAGTGAAAAAATATAGCTTGGCACTACGGGACGACAGGTCCACCACGCAATATCGTTTCATTGTGTTGTAAATTGTCGCGATGGTACAGCATGAGCCCTCAATATTTTCTGGCGCAGTAACTGAATGACCCCGCTATGACCTACTTAAGTTAACTACTCAATGTAACACTGTAGATCTACAATGATGATGTGCACATTATATGTGACACTACAGGGCATTTTTCCACCTTGGAACAGCGGCCTCTATCATCTCTTAAAATTCAGGTTATAAGATAAGATTAAGATTTACATATTTATCTCGGGGAGAGGAAAGCTGATAAGACGGCTTATCCATATGACGAACCACGGCCTCTCGTCCGGTTACCATTCCAAGTCGGGTATGGGATTAGTTATATTGTTTGTTTTCGGAAGCATGGACTTGGTGGTGGGGGAAGCCGTAACCGACCAGCAGTTACGTGAACCACCCAACGACGGCGAGGAGTCCAGCAATCCTCTCGCACATAACCATCCCTGCATGGGATTCGAACCTGCGAACCCACGCAGAGTAATTAGAGGTGCGGTGGCGAGTTCAGCCCGTTGAGCCACACCGCCGCGCCGATAAATCGTTAAATAGGTAAAAACATGTCCTACGGCACTGCAAACACTTAATCTTTATTAACATAAGTCCAGTGCATCTATTCGAAATAACTGTACCAGACAAACAAACACTTCGTGTTACAAGTCATCACAAAACATGTCAATTATATCAAAATTTCTACATTTCAGGCCCCTTTGTGTAAATGATTAAAAACCTGGGTAAAATTTTAAATTTTCCAGTGAACTGAATGCAGTCAAATAAAATACAAGTGTTATTTGATATAAAAAATACAAAACAATTACTTTCACTGCACTTTTGAACAAATTTGCTTGTAATAGCCCAAATAAAAATTTTCAGATTTTATGGAAACTTTTCGAATAACTACTATCCTTGATCAGTTTTGACATCAAAAAAATAGCAATGGCTTAATGGCTCACAGTGGAACAAATGCCTAACAAATCCAAATCCAGGGCTAAAAAAACAAAATTAAAAGATTTTTCCACCGAAATATAAATAAGAATCATCTAAGACAGGCAGTTTGTAGCTAGAAATAGTAATGCCATTCTAATATGGTGTATTAAGTTTTCTTAGATGGGCACATACCCTAACATAAGTTACCCTATTATCGTCACACACCAATGTTCACCACGCGCCTTCAGGCTGTCAGGACCATCCCACTTTCAGATAGCGCTAATATGAGTTGTTTTCAGATTGCGATGTCATGAGTGATAACTATTAAACTTATTCTGTCACTCGGTGGCATAAGGGCATTTTCATTCAAAGTTAAAAACGATTCTCATAGGGCTCAGAAAAATGTTTGAAAAAAATTAAAAGTAATAGCCTTCCAGCGGCAACAACTCTATTACGAGACAGCCTCCATATCGACTCAAAGCGGCAAATTGGCACTGCGTAATGAACTAAAATAAAGTGCAAACTACAAACGTCACCATTGGATTACACTGAAATTTTTTTAGCTTAAAAACACAATTTAGCTTAAAAACAAAATTTTTAACTATACCGAGGCCTGGCGCAATCTGACGCAAATGTCATCATGCCAGATGCCCTCGTTTCAGAGACAAATAGAGTGTTTGTTTTATTGAACCAAATGTATGGACATCTTGGAATTTTAAGAACTGTGGGGTTTCAGAGTTTGCACTGTTAATGAATGTTCCCCCGAGCATCAACCTCTCTGTCTATTATGATGACAATGACCAAATCAGCAAAAAGCTGAGAATTATCAATTGAAACTATACAGCTATGGCCTTACTCAGACTAACAAACATTCAGATATTGGCTGGTTTTATGCGGTCTTACTACTTACTGAATACAGCGCGAAACACCGCAAAACAGTGGGGAAACAGCGCGAAAGAGCGCAAAACAGAGGGAAACAGTGTGAAGCAGAAAAAAATTTTGCAATGAGTTCGGAGCACCTTGTTTTGAGTTGGAGTACCACGGCAGCAAATTCAAAACACAAACGAACATATGTAGCCAGTAATGCTGTAATGGCAGGTCTGCCCCTGCTGGTGACACATTTTGGGTACCATAATTTAGAACATTTTCCATATGGATATGGTTGGCTTTAGGGTTAGGGTTAGGTAAAAAGGGACCTCCAGAAGTATGTGCACCAAGATGGCGCACAACCTGAAAATAGTATGTGTGTGTGTGTGTAACGGATTCAGGTTGTGCGACATATTTCTGCACCTGCACATACTTCTGGAGCACCAAAAAGGTAGATAAAATTTCGCATGATGACCTATAATCCGGTACATAACCTTGTATATATGCCGGAAATAGCGCCATAAAACCATGGCGAGAGGCGCCGTGGTTCTTTCGTGGCAGGAGGTGGTAATGACTGCGTCTCCTGTTTTGCGCTGTTTCCCTCTGTTTTGCGCTGGTTTCCTTCTGTTTCGCGCTGTTTTCCTCTGTTTCGCGCTCTTTGCGGTGTTTCGCGCTGTATTCATTAAGTAGTAAGACCCGGTTTTATGTGCCATTAATCAGTTTTTAATTATTTCTAAACTTATACCTGCAGAGTGCAGACCTGGGGAAACTTCCAGTAATATGTAACATACTTTCTTAGAATCAAACATGCCCTCAGGCCTCATTGACTTTTGGTTTCTTTTTTATCATGAAATAGTCTATGCCTAGAAAACAAAAAAAAATTGGGGAACAACAATTCAGCAATTTGAATAAAAACACCTTACTGCCTTAAGGCATTTCAGGGAACGCCAGTCTGCGGTTGAAATTACTGTACTAGACTAGACTTAGACAAAC